AGGCTGGAGAGGGGCGGGTGCGGCGAGCCGAAGGTTTATTGGGGGGTGCAGCCCCCCAGTGTGGGGCTGGCTGGAGCAGGGAGGTGCCGGGGTTCGGGGGGGGGGCACCAGGGGGCTGAGCCCCTCGGTACCAGCGGGTGCGTCCCCAGCACCCATCTGGGGGGGAGAGGGGGTCACCCCTGGCACCCACAGCACCCACTGCCCCAGGGAGCAGCACCCACCCAGCCCCCCCAGACGGAGATGTGGGAGCTGCAGGGACCCAGGGCCGTGGGGTGGGACCCCCGGCCAGGCGGCACCTGCTGAGGGGAGCACTGGGCACCTGGGTCAGGGCAGTGGGGCTGGGGCACCCTGGGGAGACTGGGACAGGGCTGGGACACCCAGGGTGGGCACTGGGGACAGGGGGAGAGGGCTGGGACACCCAAAGATGGATATTGGGGACACTGGGACAGGGCTGGGATGCCCAGGGTGGGCACTGGGGAGACTGGGACAGGGCTGAGGCACCCAGGGTGGGCACTGGGGACAGGGTGGGCAGTAGGAGCCTGGCAGGGGTCCCAGTGAGCCCCTGACCCTGCCGCGGGCGATGGCCCCAGTGCAGATGAGCCGGCTGCGGATGGGGACCGGGTTCCCGCGGTGGCACTGGGCGCACACGCGGTGGGAGTCGCGGGGCACCGGGAGTCAGCACGGTGGCACCCAGGGGGCTGTGTCCCCCGTCCCCACACGCTGGGCACCCCAGCCCTGGTGCCCACCTGGGTGGCCCTTGGGGGACATCCTTGGGTCCCCGTGACCCTCTGCCAACCCTGGGGCCACCCCACGTGCCTCGTACCCCTCTGCCACCCTCAGCATCACCCCCTTCTCCCCATGTCCCCTGGGCCACCCCCCCATACCCCAATGTCCCTCTGCCAGCCCCAGTGCCACCCCCATGGCCCTGTGTCCCTCTGCCACCCCCGGTGCCACTGCATGGCCCTGCTGCCACCCCCGTGGCCCCCACCTACTCCCCCAGCACCCCCCT